GTTGGGGGGAAGAATGTAACCTACTGCCCCAGCATCATTTGAAGACACAGCTAGATCTCATCTCAGAGGCTTAAGCAGCCCCATGGGGAGGCTGCCCACCTCCATCTCCCCCATTCCACGAGGCATGAAGACAGCCTGGCCCCATCTCCAGTCTCCCCTCGGCACCTCCTCCCGTGCCCAGATGACTGAGGAGGCTCGTTTTTCATTAAGAGGTTAGGGACAGCTGCATGGAGATCATGCAAAATGATGAAGTGTAAAGGAATACAAAACAAAGCACCCTCAGGGAGTATCTCAAAGCATGTTCAAATCCTCTTGATGAAGGAGAAGATGGTTCCATAAAAGGATTAGGAATAAACCTGAAAGAACATAAAGTTCCGATTAGGGACAAGGCCACCAACTTGTGTCTGATATTGGGAAGAATGAAGGAAAGAATGAGACAGAAAAGAAGAGCTTAATTCCTGGTTTACGCAGCACATTCCAATGGGCTGGGGAAGAGCCTTTTCAGGATAAAGAAGGCCAGAGAAAAGTCCTATTCATTCACTCCCTACAAAAGCCAATTGACTGGAAATGCCTGGTGGTAATGTCTTGGGTCATTAAACATGCACTCTTTGGGTGGGGGCTGGGTGGGGGCAGGGCAGGTACAGAGGAGGACAGGACGGACAGCGAGGTGGTAGTGGTTGTCAGCAAGTGGTTTCCAAGGAAAACAGGAAACCCGGCATATAAAGGCTATTTTTGTCTGTAGTATGTGGGCTCTGAATTTAGCCATCTTGGATTCATGATTCTGGGAAAGCAACCTCAAGCTGCCTCTTACAGAAAATGGGCATGATTTTAGGGCCTTGATGTACAAACTAAGCTGGAAGCTTTGCTTTACCCAAAAAGATTTTCCAACACAGGCTTCTAAGAAGCCATGCAAATTAGCACCAGCCCACTGGCCTACATGGTGAATAAGGAAGGAAGTGTAGGACACATGCCGTGTCTGTCCTTGTGTGTCTTAACATATTTCAATTAGCAGAATGCCCTCGAGGTCATCCATGTTGTCATGTATGGTGGGACTTCCTTCTTTATTAAGGCTGGATACTATTCCATGATATACCTAGGTCATATCTTCTGGATCCATTCACCTGTCTAGGGACACTTAGGTTGTTTCCATGTCTTGGCTATTGTAAATATGGCCGCAGTGAACATGGGAGGGCAAATATCATGATTGCACTTACACAAGAAATCTAAAATAGGCAGACTCATAGAAACAGAGAGTAGAATGGTGGCTGCCACAGAATGGGAGGAGAGGGAAATGGGGATTTGCTAGTCAGCAGTCAAAAAGTTGCAGTTACGCTCGATGAATAAGCTCTAGGGATTGGTTATACAACACTGTGCCTACAGATTACGAAACCTATAGATAAGTGTATAACAATACCATGTAATACATTTAACATTTTGTTAAGAGGGCAGATCTCATGTTAAGTGTTCTTACAAGAATTAAAAAAAGGAAGAGTAGAGAAACTGGAACACTCTAAACCCCCACCCTAAGTGAACTGTCACTCACTTTCTTGATTACTCTGTGGTCTCTTTATAACAATGACAGATTCTGCAGAGTGTAAGAGGCAGGAACCCAGAACATTTGGGTTCTGGTAAGTTCCAACTTCTCTTTCAAGATGAGGGATTTCTCTCCCCGGATTCCAGTTCTCAGTAGTCCAGGTCTCAGCACTTCTCCAGCGGTGCAACTTAAAGGAGGTCACCAAGGGAACACCTCACTCCAATTCTCACATTCTATGCAGGCCCTGAATATTCCTCCCACCCAGGAAAATATTGGGGGCAACACTTCTGTCCCTCTCCCCGCATTGCAGCCCTGCCCATAAAGGAACTGGGAGATGTCTTGAAGGAAATATTTCAGACACCTTTTTCCAAACTCTTACTAGCTTTTCCCCATGAGTGAAAAGTGACAGCCCTCATGGGGGAGAACCTTCATGGAGCCACTCTGAGTGAGCAGGCCCCTTATTTCAGCCACTCTTCATGGAGCCCCGCTAGCCAGCTCCTTCATCACTCGCATGCAGGGAGGGTGGACCCTGCACTCCCATTTCCCCCTGTCAAGCAAGCACACTGGGCAGGGCCCATTCTTATCTTTGGGAGGCAAGGCCACCCTCCTGGTCTGTGACAGGGAGTGTGACTCAGATCTTCGGCGTGTGACAGCATACCACATCTGCTCTTCAGCTCAGTCTGTCTGTGTGTGTCTATCTCTTTCTCCATTCAGATCCCACTGGCTACATCTGACTAGAAGATAACAAGCTGAATCTCAGACCCAAACATTAGCCTCATTCTTAACCCCAGGTCCTTGCAAAGCACTGCACTGGGGTGTTGGGTGTGTGCCCAGACTAATTAAGCTGTACTTCACAGCTCATTTGGCTGTTGTTTGGGGCTTATGCTTCATTGCTCAGAGTCCCAAGGGGGTGGAGAGGGGAGAATACAATCCTGAACCCCTCAGAACAACTTCACTGGAAAAGACCTTCCTTGGGAAACTATAGGAAACTTCTATCAACTATATTGACAAAACCAAGAGCCTGGTCATTGTATATAGTAAAGCACCAAGATCAGAGACTTTATCAGTACATGGTCAGAGGTCTAATATTCATTAAAAAGCTTCTGGAAGACAAAAGCAGAAATGCTATCTAAATAGCATGTTAATTACCTAGCCAGGAAAAAGATAAAGCACTCACAAGCAGCTATGTCCTAACACTCAGGATTCACTTGCCAAAAAGTTCTGCTCTGCTCCCTCTCTGCATATTTGAAATGTAAGACTCTCCCCTACAGAGGCTCCATGCAGAAGATTCCAGGTATGACTATATATCTGTGAGGTCTCACTTTCAACAACATACTCCTTAATTGGAAAGGCTAATGAAGTGGAACCGGGTCAATGATGCTGTCTGCCTACTCCATCGTGTCTGTCTAAATTGGGATGCTTTGGTTTACAGTAGAGTAAATTCCTATCTGTCAGAGGAAAGGCTCCCAAAGACCAAGGGGGAATTTGCAACATGCTCAGATGCTACAGTGGAGTGCTTTTAGAATCTTAATGTGGGTACCAGGAACCACGGAACTGCCTAAAGCAGGGAAGCCCCTTTCGTATCATCTATCGCAATGACTAAATTGGGGAAGTCAAATAGAGAACTAGGTAGACTGAATTAGTGGCCCTCATTTTTCACCACTCCCTCTACCACACCCTCTGGTCACGTGACTTTGCATATCTTGGCAGAGTATGGTTCCCCATCCTTGACCCTGGGCTTGCCCATTGGACTTGGTTTGTCCAATTGGGAGGTTAGCAGATATGACATAACAGAAGCTTGAAATGTGCTTGCACGACTGAGCATGACCTCTTGTGCTTTTGCCATCACCATAAGAAGAACATGTCCAGGTGGCCTGCTGGTCCAAGGAGGATGACAGACACGTGGAGCAGACCTGGACTCAACCTGCAGCTGGGATCCAAGCTCAGCCTAGATCAGCCAATCCCCTGCCAACCCCCACCAACCTTCAGACACAGAAAGAACATATGCTAATTGTTTCAAGCCACAGAGTTCCAAGGTGATTTGTTATATAGCACCATTGTGGTAACAGCTAACTGATGTACCTTCCAAAGACTGACCTTGACAGAACCACATTGTATTATACAAACACTTCAGCCTTGGAAATGAAATGATACATACTCTCCCTAAGTCTGCAAGTACATCCCAGGAACCTGAAATACACACAACTAATAGCTATGGTTTATTGAGGACCTACTATGTGCCAGGCTGTATGTGAGCTGTTACAATATGCTAAATAAGGAAATGCTCAACTATCAGGATATTGTACTACATACAAGTTAGCTTTCAGCCCTGTTTGCCAAGTATACCAGTACTTCTGAATTTGTTTAGATGCCATTACAACAACATTAATGGAAATGATCACTCAGAATCCTCTTGTCCTGAGATAGTTTTCATTCCTCTGATTTATTCTAAACTTTATCCCAGGGGCATATTACTTGGCCAAGGTTAGAACAGTCATAGATACTAGCAAGAACCAGTAACTTAGAATTTTAAGTAATGGCTAATAACTTGTTATCATGTTCCAGGCACTGGCTTAACCTCTATACACAAATCATTTCATCTGCCCCTTGTAACAACCTTATTCAGTAGAAATCACCATTAGTCCCATTACAGAAATGAGGAAATTGGTGACCAGAGAGATTGAGTAACCTGCCTAAGGTCACAGAGATAGTGCTGAAGGCTGGATTTGATCCCAGCACCCTGCATTTGAGAAATCTGTGGTCTGTTATTTTACAGCAGCTCTACTGGATGATAAAGTCCCACCTCAGACAAAGTAATATTGTAACCTGGATAATGTTAACCAAAAGGAACAACACTTACTGCAAATACACAATACCACCTTAACTACTGGAATTCTTTGTTAGCATCTATATTTTTTATAAAGGTAATGAACGTGGTTGATAGAAATGTAGCATACACATCATCACTAAAAATGAGATGCAGTCACTTTGCCACAACAGGGACCCGTGTAGTTTGCCAGTCCATCCACACATGCTCTCTGAGTGCCTACTCAACAGCTAGCACTATGGCTGGTGGGCGCAGTGAGGGAGATGGAAATGAGTTTAAGAGGACTCTGTATACACTTCAACTCCCAAAACTAATTGTTTAAATAAGAAGCAGGCGCCTAAGCACAGATCCTGGAGAAGTGAGACTTGTTTGCACCTCATGAGTTTGGCTTTCAAGACCCGAAAGCCAGGCTCAAATACTTCTGAGCCCATCAAGGCCAAAGGCCTAATTTTAACAAGCAAATCAGCTTTCATAAAGAAAGTAGAGGGAGGATGAGGAATTTGTTCATTATCATTCCATGCATGCATCAAACATTTCTGGCCCTCCTGGTCGTGCTGAGCCCTGAGCTAAGCTGCAGCCGTTGCAAGGGGCGTTCTCTTCCTTTGCTTTGAAGATATCACAAGACAGTGTTTGCTCTTCAGTGTTAAGCAATGGCTTTGGTGTGGAGGTGACAGTTCTGTGACTCAAGCCTTCGGAGCCAGACTTCCCCACAGGGCCCATCCTGTCACAGACAATGGACCCCTGTCGTACAACCTCTGCACAGACATGCTCAGGAGGACACTTCAGAAGCTGGCATGGCGTCTATCCCCGTGAGCCCTCTGAGTGGCAACAGAAGTCGGGAGCCTTTGCCATCGGGAGGCTGCGCCTTACTCTTAGTGATTGCCAAAGCCGGGGCACCGCGGGAAATACAATGAGCTCTTTATGGGATCAGAGATGGAGAGGAAGGAAAACTCGCTAAGAGCACTCCTTTCTGCTCGGAAAATGGGCTCTTCGGAGACCACGGCACCGAAGGTGAGTCTGGACATCAAGCCACACAACCAACCAGATGCTGTCACTTGTACTATGAGCCTGTCACAAGGCAAACAGGGATCCTACGGGGAAAAGAGAGGGCAGGTTTGGGGATCAGCCATGGGTTGAAATCATGTGTAATCACGGTATGAGGCTGCTAGGGCTGCCAGAACTGACTGTCACAGACAGGGTGGCCTACACATAAGAAATGTATTTGTTCATGGTTCTGGAGGCTGGAGAATTCAAGACCAAGGTGCCAGCAGGGCTGTTTTCACCTGAAGCTTCTCTCCTGGGCGGGCATGTGGCCGTCTTCCCCTGTGTCCTCACACAGTTTTTTTCCCTGTGGGTGTGTCTGTGTCCTCATCTCCTCGTACAAGGTCACCAGGCAGATTGGATTAGGGTCTCCTCCGAAGGGGCTCCTTGCAATTTAATCACCTCATTAAAGGCTCTGCCTCCAAATATAGTCCTATTCTGAGGTACTGGGGATTCAACAGATAACAACCACTTACTCTGCCTCAGGCAAACTTCTTACCTTCCGTGAGCTTTACTTTCCTCATTTACACACAGTAGGTAGGTGGGGCTGTATTCTCCAACAGGTGGCCACTGCAAGACAGTGGAGTACAATATTTCTTGTCTGGGACCTTTCTCTTAGTAAAAAGGGGCACTAATAATTATACCAGCTTAAGAGGGCTAAGCCTGGACTGCCTCATGCAAACCCTGATGTACAGTCACCTCGTCTTTAAAAATGGGGTACCACTGACATCATGGGTTGTTGTGAACAGTAAATAATACCAGGTATTTTAAGGGGTCCAGTACACAGTTTAAGAGCTCAAAAATAGTCTTCCTTTTTTTTCTTCTTCTTTTAGGCTTAAGAAGGCTAAAACATATCCCTCCACACCCAACCCTATGAAACCGCAACTCTTTGGAGCTGCAAGTTACTGTGGATAACAGCTGAACCGACTGCCTTTGACAGCAGTGAAACAAGTAAATTCAGCTACTTCATTCCAATTGCTTACTTTGGGCCAAGCACATAGAATACTTGCAACCCTGCCAAGGGAGGTATCATGTTCCCCATTGTACAGATCAGATAACTGATATTCTGGAAGGATCATTTGCTCAAAAACACAGGACTGATAAGGGATGGAGCCAGGACTGGTGCTCGGGTTTGTACGTGGCCAGAAACCAGTTCCTTAGCCAATATCCTGGTGTTTCTAGAAGCAAGAACTTACTGAACCAGGATCTCTGGGCAAGGGTCCAAAGACTCTGCATTTTTGTTAAATACCCGTGGGGGAGTCTTATGTATACTGAAGCCTGAGAAGCCCTTTGCTCTATCACAGGGAATGCAAGACTGAAGGCATCCAAGGTGACGAAGATGGCCAGGGAGAAACCAAGACTAGGACCTGCATCTCTGTCACCCAGCAGGCCACCAAGGGTCTGATGCACACATGGGACTCTGGTGCTCACACTCTTAGACCCCATGGTGGGTGTGTCCCAGTCTGTTCAGGCTCCTTTAACAGAATATCATAGACTGGGTGGCTTTTAAATAATGGAGATTTATGTCTCACCATTCTGGAAGCTGGGGATCCAAGATCAAGGTACAAGCAGAATCAGCAGCACCTGGGAGCGGCTTTCTGGTTCAGAGTCAGCCGTCTTCTCGCTGTGTCCTCACCTAGTAGACTGGGTTAGGGGGCTTTCTGGGGGTCTTTTTATAAGGTCACTGATCACATTCTTGAGCGCTCTGCCCACATGGTCTAATCACCTCCCAAAGGCCCAGCTTCCTAATACCATCACACAGGGGGTTGGGATCTCAACATAGGAATTTGTGGGTAGAAAACATTCAGTGTACAGCCGGGTGCAAGGTGTTTTCTGTCCTTCCTTTCTCCCCATGTATACCGTGAAGGTAGCTCTCCTGTCTCAGAAAGCCATCACACCCTCCTCTTTCCAGCGTTCCCTCCCTGGGGAGGTGTGACCCCAATTCCTCCTGGAGGTCTGGTCACAGCAATCAAGGGGCTCACACAATGGGGCTTTCTCTCGAGATGTCCCTCTGGGATTTCACAGTGTGCTTATCTCCTGTGTGGGTGGCTCCTGGGGTGCAGGCAGGGCACGTGCATGGCAGGTGGTGCTGCGTGATGAGGGAGGGATGCTAACAACACAGAACGCCCCTTGTTCTCTGCAAAAGTCTGCATTTGGAATGTGACTGTAGGCCAGAATCACACAACACTCACCTTATTGGAAAATGCAAACTCACCTTCAAAGAGGCCTTGGGAGAGAACAGAAACCACACTGAGAAGGTCAGGGACTGTCACTGTGTTAGAAAGTTGGTGACAGATATGGTTAGGCCCTGAAAACAGGGTGGAGTTCCTTGCTCTATGTTGTAGTAAAAAGTTTTAAAAGTTTATAGGTGTCTTTGTATGCTTCATTCCCTCTACATTTTTTAGCCCAGACCCTAGAACTGAGCAACAGAACCTCAACATGAAGCTCAGGTCCTTTGAGGTGGTTAATTATCCACAGCCTTGGAAGCTACGAGAAACCACAGATGGATGGAAACTCAGGAATGATTTTAATGCTTCTCCGGCTTGGTGTGTATCTCTGAGCACGATGGTTATTAACAAAAATCTAAACCATTGTATGTAACACTTTGTTTTGTGTGTGCCTTAAGAGGTTTTGTAATTCTTCACAAAGTCTATGCAGAACTACAAAGTTTTGAATATACCTAACTGAAAGATCAGAGGCCTGAGGTATGAAATGTTGAGATGGGTGGCCAAATGGTGGCCTGTGAATGACACACAATTGGGTTTTTTTGGCCTGTAACATTGATGAAACATTTGAAATCATTGCCAATGTTCTAAAATGAGGATATTTGACTTTTAAATCCAGATTTCTCACTTGTTCTTGTAAAAAATGGGAAATCTAGTAACACTGGACGTGAATTGCTGCACAACAGTAAAGCTCCCAGCTGAATGGCTACTGGTTGGCCACAGCAAGCAGTTGCCCTGTCACCGCCAGCATTCGTGCAATTTGCCTAGGGTCACATGGCTGGTCAATATCAACAACAATCAGAATAGTAGCTAACTATTAATAGCCTAATTTTACAGATGGTGCAACTGAGGCTCACAGAAATAATTCACTCAAAGTTATTTTGTTAGTTAATTTGTTGGTAAGTGGCAAAGCCCCAGGATTTGGACCAGGGCAGCCCAGCTCCTGAGGCTGTACTTCTGGACCACTAAGCTACACTGTCTTCCAGTGGTGCAGCCACATCATGAGTTGGAATCACTAAACCACTGTTCCTGTTTCTATTAGCAGCTGGCCCTAGAAAGCCTTATGGAGCAGGGAATTGGATCACATGTTCCCAATACCAGGTCTTCCCATAGCCTTGCTGTGGGTCTTCAGGCTAATTACCTAATTTATAATAAACAACAGTAATAACAACTGCCATCTCAGATGGTCACTCTGAAGGCTGACTGAGGTGGGACTCTGCCACCTTGCTAAGACCCAGTGTGCAGCAGGTGAGCCACAAATGTTAGTTCCTCTTGGGGGACAATTACTATCACTCTATAGTGTTCTGCTTTTCAGAGCTCAAAGGCATTACAGACTAGAAACAAGACATGCCACATGCCAAGAAAAAACTGAGAAATGCAGCATCCACCCAACATAGCCATACAAGAGGTGTGGACAATCCCTCCGGGGCTCCCTGTCCTTCTCAAGCTGGCCACCTGGGCTCCGCTTGGACACATGCCTTCCTGGAGATGAGAAAACAGGCCACATCTCCAACTCAGCCCCATAATTAGCTTCTCCAAGGTCCAGATTGCAGCAGTTCCCCATTTTGCACCCACTTGCTGTGGTCACCCTGAAGGCAGGCAGCCTAACTGGAACCAGTGCTACAGACACTGTCCCGAGTTCCAGAGACACTATGCTTTGTTCTACAGCTTCTGGGACTGTTGGGTGGGTTTTCCATTCCATAGGGAAACAGTTAAGGTTTGAGCCCTGGAATTTGAGACTGTGATAGTCACAAAGAGGCTTAAAGAGGCCACCACAGTAGGTGAGCGGCGACTTCCGTACATGGTGCCCAGGCTGGATGTCACCAAGAAATCAAATAGCCTCAAATTCTCAATATGTCCCTGCAAGCTGACATTACCAACAGTTTCCAGATTCCCTGTGAGATGAAACTTATTTCCATCCCTGACCTGAATCAAATCCACCATTTTCTGTATATTTTGCTGATACGAGATTTGGATGGGAAATGCATTTCCTAAGGGCCACCTACAGTATATCAAAAACCAGTCTAGAATCCAAGTTTCTTGAAACCAAATCCTGGGTTCATCCCTTTCTGACACACAAAAAAATCTCTATGTGCATCCCTTCTCCCTTTTCTTCATTTCCTCTTCTTCGGCTCCCTCACAAGAGCCTCTAACTAGGACTTTTGCTCAAAAGAGAGCATATCCCAGCTCTGGGAAAATCAGTTCAGCAGTGCTTCACGTCCGGAATGCTTCCAGGAGGCCACACACAGAACTGCTGACTCAAGCTGTGGAGGGCACCAACCCCAGGCCACCAGGCCCACGGTGAGGGAGTGGAGAGCTTTGCAGGGGCTATGGAGGATGCACCCAAGCCCAGGCTGTGCCTTGGAACCCGGGAGCCCCCTTTTGAGGCTGGAAGAGAGATGGCTGGCAGGTGAGCCTCCAGGGGATGGGCAGGCAGAGGTTTCCTGAGATGAGAATCAAGAGTCAAAGGCAGGAAGCTTCAGGAGGCCGGGGGGTGGGTGGGGAGACTCAGCACCTCCCCAGCCTTCTCCTTTGTTTCTTAATGGTAACAGTGGTGATGACGACAATGATGACATCAGTAACAATGGCCATTATCATAGTTGTCATTTAAGCCTTCATAAAGCACGTATTTGGCAATTAATGTGCATTATTTCAATAAATCCTCCTTCCATCTCATGGACGTGGCTACTACAGGATGGCCATAAAGTCTGGAAACATAGGTGATTTTATTTGATGCTCTTACCATTGGGAGATGCTCCTGATGGCATGAATTTGCCTCTGTTTCCAGACCATGGGTACTCTGTAGTATTGTTCCATATTTATAGAGGAGGAAACTGAAGCTCAGAAACATTACAAGACTTCCCCAAAAGCCACAGAGCCAGGCCCATTTAACCTGTATATCATCATAGAAGTTAAAAAGGAAAAGTAACCAAAACACTTGGGTGTGCTCTGATACAATCTACATGGTGCTTGGTTTCTTTTTCACTAGTTGCCAACATTTAAAAATTGGGTGATTTCACAATCCTCAAATTTCTAGCTTTTCTTAAAATGTCAGAAGAGCTGGCCAGGTGGGCATGCAGGCTGACATGGCTGCAACTGGAGCCATGCAACTGCCACCTCCCTCAGGTGGGTACACACCCTCCCCTTGGCCATGGCCCCTGCCCCACCCACCTGCACTGGTCTTGGAACCCTCTGAGCTGGTGACTATCCTCTATTAACCACTATGCTTTATTTCTCCCCACAAAGAAAGGTGCCATCCTACTCACTGGACAGCTTATCCCTCATGACCCCAACCTCACCCCCATGTCTCCAGAAAGAAAAGTTCAAGTTGCTGTGACTGGAGAACAGAAAGCCCTAACCATCCACAGGTTAGCTGAGCACTGCAGTTTATTGACTTACGAGCCTCTACCTGGTGCTCAGCAGTCTTGACTTTCTGGGGGGTGGCAGCCCAGGCAGGGAGATGGTGTGGGGGGAGGCTTCACTGCAGAGCACAGAACAGGAAGAGGTTTTAGCACCCACTGTTTCCTGGCTTTCTGCACGGCCACCTCGGGCAGCTGCCTGTGAACTGGCTATTTGTTCCCAGCTCTCCCGGAAGGAAGCGTTCTCATCACCCACGACAACAGAGTCGACCGAGGAGCCAAGAACGTGTGCAGGGGGCTCCCAGCCCAGCCCTCCTTCTGTCCAGGGCAGCCCCAAAGCTGCTGAGACAGGAAAATGGGAAGAAAGCACAGCCCCGGACAGCGCATCCTGTGGGCCACTGACAAAGCCCCAGCTGGGGAACAGGAGGAGGGGGAGGCCACCAGAGGAAGGGGGTCCAGTGGGGCTCAGGGATTTTGCACAATGAGCTCCTTTCATCAGGGAATAGAGGACTCCCCTCAGCATGGTCTCAATGGCTTTGTTCCTGAAACGACCCATTCTGCACCCAGAGAGGCAAATTTGCCGGACCCTGTGCCAAGGTCAGGCAAGAGCCTGAGATCCCCAGGCAAGCTGATAATCAGCACCCAGGAGACAGACACTGAGCTCAGTACTCTTTGGCTGACCTAAAGTCTACAAAGATCCCCTTTCATTTTTACACTTTTCTGCCCTGGGATGGGTGTGGGGACTCCTCACTCACACACGTGACATGTCTGGCATAACTGTAGGATCTATTCAGCATAGTAAGTGCTCCCTTCCCACGAACTTCACTGAGACATCTGTGTGGAGGGGGCAGGGTGGGACGAGGAAGGACAAGAGCAGCAAGAAGCCAGCTAAAGTCTGAGGTACCAGGCTGACCCAGCACAGGATGCCATGGAACTCCGCACCAGTGACTGGGCGGTAGTCTCTGATTGGCAGGCACTTCGAGAACATCATTGTCAGGGGCTCACTGCACACACAGCAAACTGGGGGCCTATGGGACATATTCTGCTCAGACACTTTTTGCTCAGCCGGAGCAATGTTTTCAAAAGGAAAATACTAAATGTGATGCCAATACTTAAGATTCGGGAGGCTGCACAGAAGAATGCAAAAGTATTCTCAGCATGTTTTGGAAAATTAGAAGATCTGGCAATGGAAATCCACCCTCTCTGTTCAGCAACGCCCATCTAGGTTTGGGGAGCAATGGCCCCTCTTAGAAGGGGCATGCACCTTCCACAGGCTACCCCCGCCCACGCCGTGCTTCCCTCATTAAGGGCGCATACAAGGCTGCTGCAGGCACCCAAGTCTGCAGGCTCGGGCTTACCGGGTCCCAGCGCTCACAGCAGAGGCCTTGGGGTTAGAGACTAAGAATGGGATATGGGTCATGGACTAGCTATACAACAAACTTGGCTACAAAAGTCCAAGGATACCTTGACTCAAGAACAGTATATCAACACGCACCTGGGAACACTGGGTCAGGAGCAGAGTCCACTCCTGTGTGCAGGGGAGGGGTCCTGTGTTCTCACTCCCTGCTAGAGACTATTTTTGACCCCTTGTGCCACTTTCCCAAGGCCAGGGACTTTATTTTTATGTTTAACGGAGGCCTGAGGCTGCCATGTAGACAACACTCAGCAAATTCTTCTTGAACCCAAATCCACCAAATCTTGAGTCACGCTGGGTTGGAATCTGAGCGATGAATGCTCAGAACCTGGCCAGTTAATGTGTTGGAGGATGTTTTCTTGGCAGCAGGTCAAGGTAAGTCTCTCCCCCAGAGACACGCCTTGGGAATTAAAGACTTGAGCAGAAGCGGATGAGCTTAATCTCCTGTCTGGCTAATGTCTGAGACAAGGAAGCAGAGCAGTTCCTCTCTGTAGGACATGAAGCCTATGGTGGGCTAAGGTCTATTGGGAAGGTAGGACATGTACTGATGTCGTCAAGTGGAAGTAAGTCCCCAATTTATCCAAGGATACAAAAGCCT